TATTCTGTCAAATGCTTTTTCTGCATCAATTGAGAGAATCATATGGATTTTGTCCTTTCTTTTATTAATGAGATGTATCATGTATCATGTTGATTGATTTGCAAATGCTGAACCATGCTTGCATCCCAGTAATAAATCCCACTTAGTCTTGGCAATTCATCCTTTAAATATACTGTGGAATCCTATTGGCTAATATCTTGGTGACTATTTTTGGCATTCATGTTCATCAGGGATATTGGTCTGTAATTCTCCTTTGTCTTTGTCTAGTTTGGGGCTCAGAGTAATGCTGACTTCGTAGAAAGAGTTTGGAAATTTTCCTTCCATTTCTATTTTTTGAAACAGCTTCCGAAGAGTAGGTATTAGTTCTTCTTTAAATGTTTGGTAGGCTACATCAAAAACTAATGATGTATTTTATGGTGACTAACATAACACAGTAAAAAAATTAAAAATTAAAAAATGTTTGGTAGAATTCTCCTGAGAAGCCATCTGGTCCTGGATTCTTGTTTGTTGGATGATCTTTAATTACTTCTTCAGTTTCTTTGCTGGTTATGGGTCTGTTCAGATTTTTTTATTTCTTCCTGTTTCAGTTGTTTTTGTATTTATTTATTTATTTATTTATTTATTTATTTATTTGGCAGACACAGATCACAAGTAGGCAGAGAGGCAGGCAGAAAGAGAGAAAGGAAGGGAAGCAGGCTCCCTGCTGAGCAGAGAACCCAGGACCCTGGGATCACGACCTGTGCCAAAGGCAGAGGCTTTATCCCACTGAGCCACCCAGGCACCCCTGTTTCAGTTTTATAAGTTTCCAGGAATGCATCCATTTCTTTCTGATTGCCTAATTGGGACAGAATTGCTCAGAATTGCTCATAATACATTCTTAAAATTGTTTGTATTTCCTGGTACTGGTCATGATCTCTCCTCTTTCATTAATGATTTTACTAATTTGGGTCCTTTCTCTTTTCTTTTGGATAAGTCTGGCAAGGGGTTTATTCATCTTATTAATTCTTTCAAAGAACAAGCTGCTGGTTTCATTGATCTATTGTTTTGGTTTCTACTTCATTGATTCTGTTCTTTATTATTTCTCCTCTCCTACTTGGTTTAGGCTTTATTTGCTGTTATTTCTCCAGCTCCTTTAGGTGTAAGGTTAACGTGTATATTTGAGACTTTTCTCCAAAATTTTGAGAACTTTTCAAGAAAGGCTTTACTGCTATGTACTTCCTTCTTATGACAGCGTTTGCTATATCCCAAAGGTTTTGAAGAGTTGTGTTTTCATTTTCATTTGTTTCCATGAGTTTTTAAAATTCTTTAATTTTCTGGTCGACCCATTCATTCTTCAGGATGCTATTTAACCTCCAAGTATTTGAGTTCCTTAGAAATTTCCTGTTGTTGTTGAGTTCGAGTTTCAAAACTGTGGCCTGAAAATATGCAGGGAATAATCCCAATCTTTTGGTACTGGTTGAGACCTAATTTGTGACCCAGTATGTGATCTATTCTGAAGAAAGTTCCATATGTACTTGAGAAGAATATGTATTCTTTGTTTTAAGATGGAAAACTCTGTATATATCTGTGAAGTCCATCTAGCCAGTGTGTCCTTGAAAGCTCTTGTTTCCTTTTTTTTAATTTTATTTTTTTCAGTGTTCCAAGATTCACTGTTTATGCACCACACCCAGTGCTCCATGCAATACGTGTCCTCCTTAATATCCACCACCAGGCTCACCTATCCCCTCAACCTCCTCCCTTCCAAAACCCTCAGTTTGTTTCTCAGAGTCCACAGTCTCTCATGGTTCATCTCCCCCTCTGGTTTCCCCCAATTCACTTTTCCTTTCCTTCTCCTAATGTCCTCCTTGTTATTCCTTATGCTCCAGAAGTAAGTGAAACCATATGATAATTGACTTTCTCTGCTTGACTTATTTCACTCAGCATAATCTCCTCCAGTGCTGTCCATGTTGATAGAAAAGTTGGGTATTCATCCTTTCTGATGGAGGCATAAATATTCCATTGTATATATGAACCATATCTTTTTTATTTATTCTGAAGGGCATCTTGGCCCTTTTTTTCATTACATCTGTATCTTTGGGGTAAATACTCAGTAGTGCAGTTGCAGGGTCATAGGGTAGCTCTATTTTTAACTTCTTAAGGAATCTCCAGACTGTTTTCCAAATTGGCTGCAGCAACTTGCATTCCCACCAACAGTGTAAGAGTGTTCCCCTTTCTCCACATCATCTCCAACACTTGTTGTTTCTTGTCTTGTTTCCTTTTTTTAAAGATTTTTATTTAATTATTTGACATTGCTGTGAGGGGGTTTTGAAGTCCCCTACTCTTCTTGTATTGATATCAATGTATTTCTTTAACTTGGTTATTAATTGGTTGATATAATTGGCTGCTCCCAAGTTAGGGGCATAAATATTTACAATTGTAAATAGGTCTTCTTGCTGTATAGACACATTAACTATGGTATAAAGTCCCTCTTTATCCCTTATACAGTCTTGGTTTAAAATCTACTTTCATATGAGGATTGCTAACTCAGCTTTCTTTTGAAATCCGTTAGCATTATAAATGGTTTTCCACTTTTAGTCTGGAGGTGTCTTTAGGTCTAAAATGAGTCTCTTGTAGACAGCATGTGGATGGGTCTTGCTCTTTTTATCCAATCTGATACTCCGTGTCTTTTGATTGGAGCATATAGCCCATTTATTTTCAGAGAGACTACTGAAAGATATGAACATAGTGCCATTGTATTACCTGTAAGTGCCTGTTTCTGTAAATTGTCTCTGTTTCTTTCTATGTCACTCCTGGGCTATCTCTTTGCTTACAGGATCCCCTTAATATTTCTTACTGGGCTAGCCTAGTAGTCACATATTCATTTAATCTGTCTGTCCTGGAAGCTCTTTATCTCTCCTTCCATTCTGAATGAAAGCCTTGCTGGATAAAGTATTCTTGGCTGTATGTTCTTCTCATTTAGTACCCTGAACATATTATGCCAGCTCTTTCTGGCCTGCCAGGTTTCTGTGGATAATTCCTTTTTTTTTTTAAGTTATGTTGTTAGTCCCCATACAGTACATCAATAGTTTTTGATGTAGTCTTTCATGATTCATTCTTTGCATATAACACCCAGTGCTCAATGCACTACTGTGTATTTACCCCAAAGATACAGATGTAATAAAAAGAAGGGTCATATGCACCCCAAGGTTCATAGCAGCAATGTCCACAACAGCCAAACTGTGGAAGGAGCTGAGATGCCCTTCAACAGACGAATGGATAAAGATGTGTTCCATATATACAATGAAATATTACTCAGCTATCAGAAAGGATGAATACCTAATATTTGCATCAACATGGATGGATCTGGAGGATATTATGCTAAGTGAAATAAGTCAAACAGAGAAAGACAATTATCTGTGGATAGTTCTGATGTTAAGTCTGACGTTCCTCCCTCTATAAATAAGGAGCCTCTTTTTTCGAGCAACTCTCAGGATTCTCTCTTTTTCTCTAAAATGTGCAAGCTTCACCATTATATGTTGGGGTGTTGAACTATTTTTATTGATTTCAGGAGACATTGTATCTTCCTCTTGGACATGAATGCTTGTTTCCTTCCCCAGATTATGGAAGTTCTCAGTGATGATTTGCTCAAAAATACTTTCTGGCCTCTCTCTCTCTCTCCACCCTCAGTCCCCCCAATAATTCTGACATTGGCTCATTTCATGGCCTCATTAATTTCTCAAAGCCTTTCTTCATGGGCTGTTAGTTGTCTTTATCTCTTTTCCTCAACTTCCTTCCTTTCCATCAACCTGTCTTCTAGATCACTTACTCTCTTCTGCCTCATTCACCCTGGCTGTTTGAGCATCCAATTTAGGCTGCATTTTAAAGTTTGGCGTGATTAGATCTCATTTCTGCGCTAAGAGATTCTCTACTGTCTTTTAATGTTTTTACAAGCCCAGCTATTAGCTTTATAATTGCTATCCTGAATCCATCACTGACATCTTACTTATATTCACATCAATTAGGTCTGTGGCAGAGAACATTGCTTCTGGTTCTTTCTTTTGTTTTGAGTTCCTCCTTCTAGTCATTTTGCCCAGAGAAGAATGGGTGAGCAAGTGAACAAAATAAAAAAATATCAATCACCAGCCAAGCAAAATACACATTAGACAAATCCAAAGTGGTCAAAAACCAAAACAGAAAAGCAAACAAAAACAAGAGAAAACAAAATAAAAAGAGAAAAAAGGGGGAGGAAGAGATTAGTCTCACAGGGTGAATAAAGAAGTGTTCCTGGGTGAATTTTGGTCTTTGTGTTCAAAGACACTAAATCCCAAAATTGCAAAGAAAGCAAAACTTGTATATATAAAAAATTAAAATTATATAGAGTACAAAAAGGCCAAAAATGAAGTGAATCTCTATAAAATATAGATGTAAAATATAAAAGTTAAAAAATGAATTAAGGGGCACCTGGGTGGCTCAGTGGGTTAAAGCCTCTGCCTTCAGCTCAGGTCATGATCCCAGGGTCCTAGGATCGAGCCCCGCATCAGGCTCTCTGCTCGGCAGGGAGCCTGCTTCCTCCTCCCTCTCTCTCTGCCTGCCTCTCTGGCTACTTGTGATCTCTATCTGTCAAATAAAATAATAATTTAAAAAATGAATTAAAAATATAGAGTTGATAAAATAAGAAACTAGTTGAAATGGGAAAAAAGAAAACAAACAAAAAAAAGAAACAGAAAATTTTAGACGTAAAGATAAATGGATCATGAGAAAATCCTCAAGTTCTATGTAATATTTTCCCCTAGCACTGGAGTTTTACAATCTTGTGGGATCCCTAAGCTAGTTGTGCACCTGTTCCTCCAGTTTGTCTTCTGGGGGAGGAGCCTGCTGTGCTGCTTCTCAGGTGTCTTTTTCTGGGCTGAGTTGTTCCTCCCCTTGCCAGGGGGCTGGTCTCAATGTAAGCTGGTCCTCTGTGTGGGTTTGTTCCCTGAGGGCTTTCCACACCTCTTTAGAGGATCAGAATAAAAATGGCCATGCCCCAATCTCCAGCCCCAGAGCTGAAAGATCAAAGTCCACCCCCCAACTTCAGTAAACCCTCCTGGACAAACAGTTTCACTTTTGTGTGTGTCAAACTCCGTAACTCCTCTGGTAGGTGACCATAGCAGTCTCCTAGGGGGATTCTGAGGGACTTGCATTACTGCCCTTTGTGTACCATGGGGCTGAGAGAGGTTGCAGGCTCATGCATGTACCCATTCCACCACTCCCAGAGGGATGGCTGACTGTCACCCTACTGTCCTTTCTGAGGCTGCACCCAAGAGCTGTTGCCTGGTCATGGGCATACCTGTTTGACTCCTCTCAAGGCATGGCAGGCAGTGCACACGTTGCACTCTTTTTAAAGGTGCTTAGGTGGAGAGCAGTCACCCCATTAGCCTGGCTCTTGGTTTATGGCGACCTGAGTTAAGATTCCCCTCCTGGGCTCCCCAGCTATAACCAGTTTCCCTGCTACAATGCTTGGGCACTCTCCCAGTTCAGGTATCCCGGTTAGTTCTGTGACTCCTGGGATCCCGAGACCACATTTACTCACCTGGAATTCTGCCCATTTCATCCCCTGAGCCCCTTTCAGACCGGGATGTCTTTCACTGGAGCAGATTTCTAAGGGTTCTGATTTTGCCCCCCAGGGCTCTATCACTTTCCAGTAATCAGCTTATAGAAGCTCCCTACCCCTTCCGTTTATCTCTGATATCTCCCCTCAGATTTGTGTCTCCATACCTCCTACTTTGCAAAAAAGCAAGGAGAAAAAAGTTTTCTACTTGTAGAGTTCCAGATATATGTCCTTACATCTCGGGCTGGATTCCTGGCTATTCAGAATGGTTTGATAGTTATCCAGCTAAATTCAAGGGACCAGATGAAACAAGGTCCCCTACTCTTCCACAACCTTACCTCCTACCCTTCAGTGATTGTTTTTCTATTTGTAGAATTGCAGCAATTCTTTTCTTAGATCTCAGATTTTATTCACAGTTGTTCAAAAGGATGTGATAGATAACCAGTTGAATTCAAGGACCAGATGAAACACGGGTCCCCTATTCTTTCCCCATCTTCCCTCTGATCGAAACCTATATTTTACAAGCCCTGTTAAGGGTCAAGCTACAACCTTCCCAACTACTTAAAAACCAAAGTAGAATTGGAGACCCATTTTTTATTTTGGGAATTATGGGATCCTCCAAGATTATGGAGACGAATCTCTCCTAATTAAAGTAGACATGACATTGTTTCCTGTGATGAATCTATGATGTTAACCCAACTTACATATTTTCTGTCCTAGAAATCGACGTTGTGAACTGCTCTAATTTCAGTAGTGATCCAACGTTTCAGAACTGTCAGAAGCAGGTAAGGTTCATCACTTCATGGGTTTGCACAAGTGTACAGAAGACCATCCTCAGAATAGAGTGGGTAATGTAGGGAGGGATACCTCACCATGGTGTGCAGGTGTATTTAATATATATTGTCATGTAACAAGTGACCCCCAAACTTAGTGACTTAAACAACATTTACTGTGTCTAAATTCCTATGAGTCAGGAATCCAGGGAGTCCTTTGCTGGACATGTTGCCATGGGATATCTAACAAGGCTGTCATGAAGGTGTGAGGATGGAGAGTAAGCAGAAACCTCACCTGTGCTGACAGGAAAGGAAAACCATGGAGCTGCTTTGGTAAACAACCTGGCAACTCCTCAAACAGTTAAACATAGATTTATCATATTCCCAGTAATTCTACTGCTAGGTATATAACCAAGAAAATTGAAAATACATGTCAACACAAAAACTTGTACACCAGTGTTCACAGTGGCATTATTCACAAGAGCCAGAAAGTGGAAATGACTGACATGACCACGAACTCCTAAGTAGACAAAATAAATGTGGTCCATCCATACAATGAGCTCCTCCTCCACCATAAAAATGAATGAAGCATTGACACACGCTACAACATAGATGGACCTTGAAAACATGACGCTCAGTGAAAGAAGCCAGACAAAAAATGTCACAGAGAGCTTGATTCCTTTTATATGAACTGTCCAGATAGGCAAATCCTGAGACACAGAAAGTAGACTAGGGGTTGCCATGGACTAGGATTGGGGGTGATTGCTCAAGAATGCAGATTTTAGGGGAGAATGTTGAAAATGCTCTAAACTTTATTGTGGTTGTAGTGATGGTTGTACAAATCTGTGAATATACTAAAAGCCATTGAATTATATACTTTAAATGGATGAGTCTTATGGGTGAATTATATCTCAATGGAATTGTTAAAGAAAAAAATGTTAGTTGAGGGGCACCTGGGTGGCTCGGTGGGTTAAAGCCTCTGCTTTCAGCTCAGGTCATGATCCCAGGGTCCTGGGATCAAGTCCCACATCGGGCTCTCTGCTCAGCAGGGAGCCTGCTTCCCCTCCTCTCTCTCTCTGCCTGCCTCTGCCTACTTGTTATTTCTGTCAAATAAATAAATAAAATCTTTAAAAAAAAAAAAGGTTAGCTGAATTGGCCAGTGTGCATAGTTGGTCTCCCAATATAATTAATCAAAGACTTTTAGTACCTACAGAAAATGTTAAGACCATATATTCTGAGCTCCTTTGTTTTTAATTAGGGACCCTGAGGCCCAGAGGATTTAAGTCACTTTTTCAAGGTCACAAGGCTTGTTGGTGCCAAAGCTGTTTTAGCAACCAGTTTTAAAGGATGTTTGGCAAAGCAGAGGATCATAGAGAAAGAGAGGAAAAATAAAACAAGAAGAAATCAGAGAGGCAGACAAACCATAAGAGACTCTCAACCATAGGAAACAAACTGAGGGCTGCTTGAGGGGAGGGGAGTGGAGGATATGGGGTAACTGGGCGATGGGCATTAAGGAGGGCATGTGATGTAGTGAATATATTATATTATATTATATTATATTATATTATATTATATAAGACTGATGAATCACAGACCTCTACCTCTGGAAAAAAAAAAACAGTACATTATTGAATTTCAATACATAATTGAATTTAAATTTTAAAAATTAGGGAAAAAATGATATATGAAATTGGGGCTCATCTATCAAAACTACTAGACAACCAGCCCAAGCTGATTAAAGGAAAAATAACAAATCCTTCTTTTCTTCTTTTCTCTTAGTTAAATTTGAGCAGTTCTATAGACAACAGCAGAGAGATCTGCACCCGTTTTGCAAAGCTGTCCCGCAGCTGTGGAGAGAGAAAAACTACTCTGTCCCTACAGGTCTGAGCTTCTTTTCCTTTGGTTCCAGGTGCAGGTGGATGCCTTCTCCTCCACCACCTCCCTTTTAAGTAGACTTGTATGGTGTATATACAATGAATCTTGGAACACTGAAAAAATAAAATAAAATCGAATCAGAAAAAAAAAAAAAACAAGTAGACTTCGTCTTTCAGAGCAGTTTTAGATTCACAGCAATGTTGAGCAGAAATAGAGAGTTCCCATATATTCTTGCCCCCTTCATATGCACAGCCTGGCCTGGTATCTGGCACCAGATGGTGCTTTTGTGAAACTACAATGTCATGTCAATGTCACCCCAAGGCCAGAGTTGTTGACATTAGGCGTCATACTTCATGCTGCCCATTCTGTGAGTTTTATCAAATATATAATGACATGTGTCCACCATTATAGTATCAAACAGAATAGTTTTGCTGCCCTAAAACTGCTCTAAAAATCTCATCTCTATGAGTTTTTATTAAGGAGGGCATGTGCCGTGATGAGCACTGGGTGTTACATGCAATTAATGAGTTATTGAACACTACATCAAAAACTAATGAGGTAGTATATGTTGGCTAACCGAACATAAGAAAAAAATGTATTTTAATAAAAATTTTCTATATCCAAGGAGTACATGATGATATTTTGATATACATATATGTAATGAAATGATTACTACAGTCAAGCTAATTAGCATATCCATTTCCTCACATTTACCTTTGTGTGTGTGTGGTGAGCATTCCTGAAAGCTCTTAGCAAATGTACAGTGTATTATATAGTATTCTTGTTTAAAAGATTTTATTTATTTTTTTGTCAGAGAGAGAGAGAGAGAGAACAAGCAAGGGGAGTGGCAGGCATTGGGAGAAGCAGGCTCCTCACTGAGCAAGGAGCCTGATTCAGGACTCTTAATCCCAGGACACTGGGATCATGACCTGAGCCAAGGACAGATGTCTAACCAACTGGGCCAACCAGGCATGCATATTATATAGTATTTTTAACTAAAGCCATCATACTATACATGAGAAGTTGAGACTCATCCTATATACATGCAACTTTAGAATCTTTGACCAATGCAGATGGATACTTAACCAAATCAAAACCAAACACTACTATAATACTGGAAAGTATTGAAAGACATACTAAGGAACTGAGTCTACTGAGACTTACCTTCTTAGGATATGACGTATGTGAAGATTCTCAGAATTGGGCTCAACCAGCATTTGCCAATTCAGGAAATCTCATTTCACACAGTTCCTTTGGAGTCTGTGCATACAAGGTTGTGGGATGTTCCCAGAAAAGATTTAAGGTCCCTCGAACCTCTGTCAATGAGAGTAAATACCTCCTCTTTTGTGCTTCTTGTCAAATTTAATTTTGAATTTATCACATGGCAAAATGTTGTGGAAAGGCAATGAAAACCAAAGTCTTCTCCCAACATAGAAAAATGCACCAAAAAAGTCTAAGAGAAGGAAAATGGTTTTATTATGGAATAAGTATTAAACCAGCATGCTTTTGCTTTTATAGTGCCAGATCCTGGGCTCAGGGCTATTGGTAGATTTATCTGGCCCAAACACAAGCTTGAATTTGTTCAATTAAAGGACTTTGGTCTTGCAAAGCCTCCCATTCATCTAACAAGCCTTGTTTCTAACAGGAAATCGGGAACTCTTACCATTTTCTCACAAACCTCACTTCCCAATTAACCCCTGGAAATCAAAAAGAGAAAGCAAGGCTAGTGACCACCTACCTGCAGAGTATAGAAGCGGCCGTCCTTGCAGCTGCATCCAGAAGTCCAAAGGAAACACAGAAGGAGGAAGGGCCTTTTATGGGTAAGGAATCACAAGGATGGTAAGTACAGCTCCCCTTCCCTGTTGCCAGGCTCTGTTCTACTGAGTTTGTGTATCACCTCACAAAATCCTCCTAGTAGTGCTGGGATAAGTGTGATTACTTCTATCTTATATTAAGGGGGCTGAGTCCCAGAAAATGTGCCTGAGTTCCTGGCATCCTAAATGGTATAAGAGTCAAGAGTCAGACTCTGCACCCAAGTCTGAGTCCACAGTCTTCTCTCTCAACCAGTACACAGTCAGTGTGCACTGCCTGGTATAATTTTGCATTTCATGGATTTGATTTTTTCCTACATGGACCCACCATCAAAAGTTTGCAGGTAGCCAATTTCATAAAGTACTACTATGACAGAGGAAATGAATAGGGTGTGGTTTTAATTTTGGATTGGACATACCTCTCTATTTCTTAAAAACATTCACAGAGATACAGATCAGCAAGTAGAAGAAAGTATACACCATCTATAATCCTGCAGATTCAGAGAAACCTACTCTAGGTTAGTGTATTATTTAGTGATTGCTGCATAACAAGCGATCACAAACAACACATATATAATTTATAGCTTCCATGGGTCAGGAGTCAGGGTATGGCTTAGCTGAGAACTCTGCTTGGGCGGGTCCCCCAAGACTGCAGTGAAGGTGTTGGCTAGGGCAGGAGTCTCATCTAAAGGCTTGAACAAGGGAGAATTTATTTCCAAGCTCACATGGTTATTGACAGGATTCAGTTCAGTTCTACTGCTGATTTGGAAACGGTTCTTTCTCTTCTACCTTCCTTCCTGGCCTGTGAGTCAGTGCTGGGTTGAAGAGCAAAGGGTAATACCTCACATCCACTTGGAGGGCTATTAACAAAAACCAGAAAATAACAAGCACTGATGAGGATATAGAGAAAATGGAGACCTTATGCACAGCTGGTGGGAATGTAAAATGGTACAACGATGTGGAATTTCTTGGTAGTTCCTCAAAAAATTAAACATAGAATTACTACATGAATCAGCAATTCCACTTCTGGGTCTGTACCCCCAAAGAACTGAAAGCAGAAACTCAAAGAGATATTCATATATCTGTGTTCACAGCATCTTTATTCACAGTACAGTAGCTAACAGGGGGATGCAACTCACGTGACCATTCATAGATGACTAGATAAACAAAATGTGGTGTATCCAGACAACATAGTATTATTCAGTCTTAGAGGAAAGACATTCTAACATGGAGGAAAGACATGCTACAACATGGATGACCCATGAGAACGTTATGCTCAGTGAAATAAGCCAGAAACAAAAGAACAGATTCTCTATTATCCCACTCATAGGAAGTCCCTAGAGGAGTCCCATCCATGGAGACAAGAAGCAGATGGTCAGAGCCAGGGGTGGGTGAAAGCATGAGGAGTTTGTGTTTAATGGGAACAGAGCTTCGATTTGGGAAGATGAAAAAGTTCTAGAAAGGGATTGTGAGGGTGTGATTGTGCTTAACACCAGTGAACTGTATGCCTAACCATGGTTAAAATGGTAAAATTTATGTTATGTGTATTTTATTCCAATAATGATAAAGAAAACAGTGAAGGTGCCTGATTAATTCCTAGTTCACTTTTTGAATTTGGCTAAGTGCCCATGGAGTTTGGCCATTTCCTTTCCACACTAATCAAGAGTTATCAGTTCAGGAGTGTGTGGGTTTTTCTTATTGGTGTCCAGTGCAGAGAATTATCACATTGGAGCAGGTGGGCAAGTGGATGTTGCTGTTGACCAAACATTCTCTGTTTTTTAGCCATCAACACACAAAGGGTTGAGAACTGCAGGCTGAAGACACTCAGTTTGAAGGCAGAAAAGCAGACCATGGATATTCACTGCACCACCAATGAGGAAGAAATCTTGGGAGGTACTCTATATGGTGGCCCTAGAACTTAGACTATCAGTCCAAGAATTTCCCCAGTGGAATTCCATGTTGCTCCAATAAAACAGTTCATAGAAGCTTTTATTGTTACTTGAGTAAGTTCCATGAATGACACTGATAAAGCCAGAGTCTGGGAAATTCACATTAGATTCTTACAGCCAGAAAAAAGAAAAAGAAAAGAATCCTATTTTGTTTACCTTGGATGTGTTGGAGCAGGAGTAGAGTTGAGATTTTTTTTTATTTTTTTTTATTTTATTTTTTATAAACATATATATATATATATATATTTTTCCCCCAGGGGTACAGGTCTGTGAATCTCCAGGTTTACACACTTCACAGCACTCACCATAGCACATACCCTACCCAATGTCCATAACCCCACCCCCCCCACCCCCCCCTCCCCCCAGCAACCCTCAGTTTGTTTTGTGAGATTAAGAGTCACTTATGGTTTGTCTCCCTCCCAATCCCAACTTGTTTCATTTACTCTTCTCCTACCCCATTAACCCCCCATGTTGCATCTCTTCTCCCTCATATCAGGGAGATCATATGATAGTTGTCTGAGTTGAGATTTTTTAATGGCTTCCCATGTCTTTTCCTTGCTTAAATCACCTCAACCCTATGCAATGCTTTAGGCTGGTTTCCTTAAACAGCTGTCTTTCCCTTGCAAATGGACAATGAGTGGCTCCCCATTTCCTGGAGGAAACCAATCAGCCTTTTAGCTCTTTCTCTCTTTTTAAAATTTCTGAATATTTGTGTTTATTTTTATTCATTTATTTTTTTTTTGCTTTAAGTTTTAAATTTTTAAAGAATTTTTACTTGAGATATAATTGACATATAACATTAGTTTCCAGTGCATGACATACTGATGTCATATTTGTCTAGCTCATTTTAAAAACTGTGCAGTCTAAATTTAATCACCTTTAAGATTTTTCCTTTACTATTTTTCATATGACCTTTCCCTCCTGCAAACTTACCTGCTAATAGTCTTTTTCTCCCTCTTTCACTTCCTTGCTCTCCCCTTCATCTCTTGCCTTCTTCTCCCCTTCTCTCTTTCCTTCTTTCTTCCCCCTTTTCTTCTTCCATCCCATTTTCTTTCCCTTCCCTTTTCTCCCTTTCTTCCTTCTCTAAATCCACCCATTCACCCACCCATTCATCCATGCATCCATACAATCCACCATCTTTCCTTTCACCCATCCATCCATTCATCCTTCTATCCATGCAAGCATGCATGCATGCGTCCATCCATCCATCCATTCTTCCATCCATCCGTTCTTCCATCCATCTACTCACTCACTCTCCCATCTATTAAACTGCCTGCCTTCTTTCCCCTCTTCCTTGATTCCTTCCATCATTTCATTGCTTTGCATTGGAAATTTGGGGGAATATAATAATGACTTCACATTTTCCTAGCTCCATCCTAAAGTTGGTTATTAAATATCTGTAATCCTTTCCTTAACTGTAAAATGCCAAAGAAAATATTCCCTAGCAAGAGTGGTAGTCATGAAGAAATTTCTATTTAAAATTTAAAATATGTTAAAAGTAAAATGATTATGACTTATGTGAATGACTCAGCACATTGTCCCACAGTAAAGGCTCAATAAATGAGAACTAAAATCATTTTTTCCAATGATCTGTGAAAGTTAACACAGATTACATTTTCCCCAAATGGCCATCCCTGAAACTAGGTGGGGTTTTCTTCTTTATCCCAGGTATTGTCGCATTTATATCTTATACTTCTATTGGTCCCATCATCGGTGAGAGTTTTGCGTCTAAGGAAAATCTAATGACAAAGGAAAAATTGCATAATTTCTACCTGAACTCCAAGGTAGTGAGTGGTACAGTGGGATCCAGAAAGAACATCTCACTCTCCGTGTCTGTTAATTTCACATTTCAGCATGAAAAGGTATGTGAGAACCAGGTGACTCTATTACATGTACAGGGATTTCATAATTAAATGGGAATGTTTCCATGCTGATGAATTCACAGGTTGGAAGTCTGTAAAAATGAAATTGAATCTCACTCATCTGGGAGACAGGGTGTTGGAAAGTCCAAAATAAACCAAGGGTGTGATATGGCTTCCTGAGAAACTGGGGTATCCCTGAGCTGTATTGAGGAGATAACTTCAGAATCAGCCTCTCAACTCTCCCCCAAGACTCTGGATATGTCTGACTTGTCAAACCGGTCCAAATAAAACTGGTCAGGGTTTAAGAAGTCATCAATCCAGACCAGCATGTGAGATGAGTGGTAGTCCTTAGGTATTTTTGAAGTGCTTCCTAATGGCTGTAACAAGGCATCATACCAGGCACATTCCAATAGAAAAGTTTTCAAGGTTTTAGAACTTTGCCAAAATTAAAATTGATTTGTCTTCTTCAAAGGCGTTGTTTGCCGTGTAAACAATTACCCCAGAACTTGGCAACTTAAAGTGATATGAATTTATTATCTCATTCTGTTTCTTTAGGTCAGGAATCTGGGTGTAGCTTTATTGGATGGCTCTAGCTCAAGGTTTCTCAAAAGTTTTCTGTCAAGATAGTGGCTGGGTGTTGTCACCAGCAGATTTCACTGAGGCTAAAGGGTTTGTTTTAAAGGTGGATCCACCCTGTAGCTGGTGGCAAGAGGCTTCTGTTTTTGCCATGTGTGGCTCTCTGAGAGCTGCTTCACTGTTTTCATGGCATGGCAGTTGGTTTCCATGAGTGCTCCAAGAGAGACTGCTCCCAAGGAAGTGGAGTTAGACTTGGCATTTTGAAGGGAGTGCCAAATAATTGATGGACATTTCTTAAACCAGTACATGGAGAGTTGCTGCTGAACAAACTGGGTTCAAGTCCCGGCTCCCTTCCCACTCACTAGTTAGGCAAATTACCCAGCCTTCTGTGCTGAGCACAGTCCAGATGCTGAGGTTCTGTTACTGGTAATAGTAATGTGCTTCTTAATGTGTAGGATAAATGAGTCCACGTGTATAAAGCCCTTAAAATAGTGCCTGACATCAACAAATGGTGCTGGGAAAATTGGATATCTGTGTGCTAAAGAGCAAATGGACTCTTACACCATACAGAACATGAACACAAGATGGATCAAAGACATAAATGCAAGACCTAGAACTATCAAACTTCTAGAAGAAAACATAGTTGAAAAGCTTCATTACTTAAATTTGGCAAGAGTTTCTCAGTTATGACATCAAAAGAACAAGCAACAAAAGTAGAAATAGATAAATGGGCGACACAAAACTAGAAACTTCTGTGCATCAAAGGACACAGTCAATAGAGTGAAAAGCTAACCCATGGAATGGGAGAAAATACCTGCTAAAGGTTTAATACTCAGAATACATAAAGAACGTCTACAAGTCAACAACAGCAACAAAATACCTCTATTTAAAAGAGAGAGAGAGATAGAAAAAGGATCTGAACACATGTTTCTCAAAAGATGATATACAAATGTTCAAGAAGCATATGCAAAGATGCTGGAAGTCACTAACCATTAGGTAAATGTAAATCAAAACCGCAATGACATATCACTTCATATCCATTAGTATGGCTACTATAAAAACAAAACAAGATGAAGAGGGAGAGAAATTGGAATCACTGTGAAATGTTGGTAGGAATAGTAAATGGCGCAGCCACTATGGAAGATAGTATGATTGTTCCTCAAACGCTTGAACCTAGTATTACTGTATGAAATAATATTGAATAGTATTTAGCTTTTTTAAAAAAATGAGCATTGGGTGTTATATGTAAGTGATAAATCACTAAATTCTACACCTGAAATCAATTTTACCATATACATTAAATAATTAGAATTTAAATAAAAACTTGAAAAATAAAGAAATACAATTTTGATATATGTTACAACAGGGATGAACCTTGAGGACATTTTGTTAAGTGAAATATGCCAGACACAGAAAGAAAAATATTATAATCTTCCATTTTGTATAAGGTCCCCAGAGTAGTCAGGTTCTTAGAAACAGAAAGTCAAAGAATGTTTGCCAGGAGCTGCAGGGAGAGAAATGAGCAGTTATTTTTTTAATGGTCAGTGTTTCAGTTTTACAAAATGAAAAAAAGTTGTGGACAGGACACCTGGGTGGCTCAGTTGATTAAGTGTCAGCCTTCTGCTCAGGTCATGATCTCAGCATTCTGGGATCAATCCTACATTGGGCTTCTTGCTCAGTGGGGAGCCTGTTCTCCTTCTGCTTGTTCTCATTCTCTCTCTCTCTCTCTCTGACAAATTAAAAAAAAAGTTCTGGAGATGGGTTGCACAAAAATGTGAATTTATTTAACATTATGGTGCTGTCCACTCAAAAATGGTTAGGTTGGGAAATTTTTATATTATGCAATTTTTACCATAATAAAACCTTTATTAAAAAATCTGACACATAGGGGTGCCTGGGTGGCTCAGTCGGTTAAAGCCTCTGCCTACGGCTCAGGTCATGATCTCAGGGTCCTGGGATCGAGCCCTGCATCAGGCTGTCTGCTCAGTAGGGAGCCTACTTCTTCCTCTCTCTCTCTCTCTCTGCCTGCCTCTCTGCCTACTTGTGATCTGTTGTCAAATAAATAAGTAAAATCTTTTTTTTTTAATCTGACACATAGTAAGAATTCCAAAGCATTAGATACCATTAATTTCTAGGCTCAGCCTTTGTTGATTTTTTTAAAATGCAATTACATGGGAATTTCAGAACACAGGAAGTGGTGAGCACTCAGAATATTTTTTACTGCCTTTTATTTCCTGTCAAAGGAAATATTTAAAACCTCTAAATATCAAATAAGCAATATTCAGACACCACTTCCCCCTTTTCCCAGCTCTTGGCTGAACACAGGATTTTTTTTTTTTTTCTTACAAACAGCCTTAGACCTGGATTAAGGAAAGAAACAGATTTTTGTCTCCTTCATATAATCAAACTTTGGGCATGATTGAGGGGCCATGTGAAAGCATTCTGACCCATTTATACCCCCCACTGGGGCCCATTATACTTAAGTTGTTCACTTGTAGCAGCTTCAATGAGCAAGTCCTTTTCTGTGTCAAATCACAGAACAGTGAACCAACACTTTTGTGCATGTACTGTATTTTGGGGTATGCCCCAACACATGCATCTGGGACAGTAACAGAATCTACACCATAAGCTGCTGTGGAGGTTAATCGAGTTATTCCATGCTGAGTCTAGAGATTGGTGCCTACATATGTAGATATCTGTCAGTGTTGTCTCTGTTGGTGACAAGGACAATTTCAAGGGAGAAAAGAACTACTAGTTAGGAACTCAACAGATATTTTCTCTTCTTCAGGAAATCACATTGCCTTGACATCAAAAATTATCTCCTTTTTCTTCCCTCTTCTCATTTACCTTACAAATGAGAGAGACAGTAGGTAGGATGGTTAAGACTTACAGCTCTGAAGTCAGAACTCCAGGAGTGGAATCCTATCTCCTCAATTATCACCAGCTTCCAACTGTCAGTTTCCTCCTGTGTAAAAGGAGTATATGAATACCTACCTTTGTAGTAAATGAGATAATAGACACAAAATGCCTAGTATATTTTGGAATATGAACAACAATCAGTAAATGTTAGTTATTCTATGACTGGGATAAGGCAATGTGGTTATTCTCCAGATGAAGACAGAAAATGAGCAGTCCATCTGTGTCTACTGGCAAGGGTCGTCTTGGTCTAATGAAGGCTGTCAAGTTATTTCTTCAGATGAAAATCAAACCCTTTGCAGCTGCAACCACCTCTCCAGCTTTGCCATCCTCATGGCATCCACCAAATTAAAGGTAATCTCTACTTTTGTAAATAAACTTACCTTTCATTGAAGTGGAACATTATCAAGTTCTAGTAAAAAGAAGATTGAATGCATTCTGACATTGAACAGAGAGCGGTTTTAAAGCACGCCCTCTATTCATGAAAGGCTGTCAACATTTTCAGTGGAAATCACTAGAATGTTCACCTGGAAGTGTTAGCCATTAAGTGCTTCTCACAGTTTCCTGTTCCTAAGAACCATAGGTTGGGGTGTTTATTTATAATGCAGATTCTTGGCTCCATTTCCAAGAGATTTGGATTCTGAAAACCTGGTGTGAGGTCAGGGGCCTGCATTTTACAAGGGGATTCATTCCCTAGACAAATATTCCTCAAGCATCTAGGACCACTAAGTGTGTGGAAGATACCCAACGCTTCTGTGAATGGGGACATAGTAAGTAATGAACCTCAGAATAAGTGAACTGTATTGTATGTTACAAACTTCTCTCTCTGATATGGGGAAGTGACAACAGGGACAACTCTGTGCTCCCTCAACACAGAGGGAAAGAATGTCAAACATCTCCTGAATAACTCTTTACCTTTACATTGATCATACATTGAACTAATATTTGGAACCTATTGGGTTAAAGAAAATATACTAGAGTTCCTGGGTGGTTGGTTAAGCTCAATTGGTTAAGCAACTGCCTTTGGCGCAGGTCATGATCCTGGAGCCCCAGGATTGAGTCCCAAGTTGGGCTCCCTGCTCAACAGGGAGTCTGCTTCTCTGACCCTCGCCCCTCTCATGCTCTCTCAATCTCTCTCTCAAATAAATAAATAAAATATCTTGGAAAAAAAGAAAACATAGTAGTAAATTATTTTATGTCTCCTTTTACATTTTTAATGGGGCTACCAGAATATGTAAAATTACTTCATAGGGTATATGTTTTTTGAAAAAACCCACTTTATTGAGATATCCTTGGTATGTAAAAATTGTATATATTTAAGGTGAACAACATGATGTTTTAGTATATGTGTATGCATTATGACAAGATCTTCATGGTCAAGATACATAACTTACCCGTCACCTCTATATAGGTGTCCTGTCATGTGTGTCTGTGATGAGAAGGTTTAAGATCTACCTTCTTAGCAAATTTCAAGTATACAATATAGCATTGTTAACTGTTGATACCATGCTGCACATTAGATCCCCAGAACTCAGTGAGCTTTCATAACTGAAGCTTGATGCTGCTTGGCACATCTCCTCATTTTCCCCTCCTCCCAGCCTTTGGCAACCAACATTCTACTCTCTGCTTCTGTGAATTAGACTATTTTGGAGTCTGCATATATGTGTGATCATACAATATTGGTTTTCCTGTGTCCAGCTTGCTTCATTTGGCCTGATGTTCTCAGGATTCATCCATGTTGTTGCAAATAGCAGGATTACCTTCTTTATTAATGCTGAGTAATACTCCACTATAGTAATGTAATGCATACACCTCAGTGTCTTTACTCATCCATCCATCAATGGTTATTAGGTTGATTCCATATCTTGGCTATTGTGAATGATGCAACTGTGATATTTCTATGGGCCATGCCAGTTTGGTGGTTTCAGTTTTCCAACAGTACTGTGTAGAAAATGCTCTTAATGCCTCTATTAACTTGCCAGGACTGTGATGACAAAGTTTCATGGTCTGGGTGGCTTAAACAACAGAAACTTATTTTGTCGCAGATCTAGAATCTGGAAGTCCAAGTTCAAGGTGCTGGCAGGATTTTTTTTTCCTGAGGCATCTCTCCTTGGCTTCCTACTCCCTGTGTCTTCACATGGTCCTCCGTCTCTACCTGTCTGTTTCCAAATTTCTTATAAGGGCACCAGTCTTACTGGATCAGGGCCCACCCTAATGACATCATGTAACTCAGTTAACCCTGTCTCCAAATACAGTCAGATTCTGAGGTCCTTGGGATTAGTACTTTTACATATTAGTTTGTGGGTGAGGAACACAATTCAGCCTGTAATACTGCCTCCATTTTAAATATGGGGACACCAGATCTCAGAGAGCTAAAGTCATTTGTTTGGGGGACAGACCTGGGACACCCATCAGGCACATAACAACATAACTGGAAACTCTAATGGATTTCTTCTTTTGCGGCTCATAGGTGGATCCTGTGCTGACCATGATCACATACGTGGGGTTGAGTCTCTCTCTGCTGTGCCTCTTCCTGGCAGTCCTTACCTTCCTCCTGTGCCGACCCATCCAGAACATCAGCACCTCCCTCCACCTGCAGCTCTCCATCTGCCTCTTCCTGGCCCACCTGCTCTTCCTCACGGGCATTGACCGGACAGAGCCCAAGGTAGGAGAATTAGCTGAGACTCACTTTTCTGTGAACATTTCTAGCGGCTTTGCTGCTATGCACTTGAAGCCCAAGGAAGGGCTAGCTAGATGTAGGAAAAGGGAAGGAAGGTCCAAAAATTTGGATGGACAGTTCAACCCCCATTGCCAATGGCTGCTCATTTTAGTGCTATCAATAGTGGGTCTCTGGGAATGAATATTAGAAGGGAGTTCACTGGCTATGAAATGGTAAAAGTAGGGGTCCCTGGGTGGTTCAGTCAGTTGGGCATCCAACTCTTGGTTTTGGCTTCAGACATGACCTCAGGGTCATGAAATTGAGCCCCGCATCACTCACACTCCGTGAGGAGTCTGCTTCCCCTCTTCTACTTCCTCTGTCCCTCTTCCCTCTCTCTCAAATAAATGAATAAATCTCTAAAAAAAAGAAATGGTGAAAATTACATATCTAATCAAAATTAATTTATTATAGGGGTGCTTGGGTGGCTCAGTGGGTTAAAGCTTCTGCCTTTGGCTCAGTTCATGATCCCAGGGTCGAGGAATCGAGTCCTGCATTGGGCTCTCTGCTCAGCGGGAAGCCTGCTTCCTCCTCTCTCTCTCTTTCTCTCTCTCTCTCTCTGCCTGCCTCTCCACCTACTTGAGATCTCTGTCAATATAAATAAAATCTTTTTAAAAATTAATTTATTTTAAGTTGGCAAACCTAAAGCGCGAGTAGAGGAAGTAACTTGCCTAATATTATATAATGGGTTTTATGAGGTTTTAGTTAAGAACCTGACTGTCCTTCACTTAATTCGGGGCACACAGCTCTAGATCTGCACTTTGTAACAGAACCTCCTGTTAGGATAAAAATATTCTATATGTGAACTCTTCAATATAGGAGTGACTGGCCACATGTGGCTATTAAGCACTTGACTTTGGCTGGTGTAACTGAGGAACTGACTCTTCAATTCTGTTTTAATTTTTTTAAGATTTTATTTATTTATTTGACAGAGAGAGACACAGCAAGAGAGCGAACACAAGCAGGGGGAGTGGGAGAGGGAGAAGCAGGCTTCCCGCCAAGCAGAGAGCCTGACACAGGGCTCAATCCCAGGACCCTGGGATCATTACCTGAGCCAAAGACAGACACTTAATGACTGAGCCACCCCGGCACCCCTTAAATTCTGTTTAATTTTAATGAATTTAAATGTAAATAGTCCCATGAGTGTCTCCTAGCCATAAGGTAGACTGTGCAGATCTGTAGATATCAAGCTTATTCTGCAAAGAAGGACACTGAAGTGTTTATTTTGTGAATATTTGTTAAAATATAGTTCCTCTAAAGCCATTGGGTCACCTTTCAGCACTTTGCTAAGTGAAAACGTTGAACATAGGATACTCGGCTCTCTTGGATAGTATTTTATGCATGAGTGAGATGAATCTAAGTCAAAGGTCAAAAAAATTATTTCCCAGACCTAATTGTCAGCAGTTCCTTTCTGTTGAGTCTGCTTGTGGTTTTTAATTAAAAAAGAGTTGCCAGTATCTGGGTACTTACCTCAAAGAAGGAGCATTGGGTCTTATATGCAAACAATGACTCATGGAACACTACATCAAAAACTAATGAGGTACTATATGGTGACTAATGTAACACAATACAAAAAATCTTTTTTAAATTAAAAATGTTTTAAAAACTTTTATATCAACATGGACAGGATGGGAGGAGATTATGCTGAGTGAAATAAGTCAAGTAGAGAAAGTCAATTATCATACGGTTTCACTTACTTGTGGAGCATAAGGAATAACATGGAGGACATTAGGATAAGGAAAGGAAAGGTGAATTGGGGGAAATCAGAGGGGGTGATGAACCATGAGAGCCTGTGGACTCTGAGAAACAAACTGAGGGTTTTGGAGGGGTGGGGGGTTGGGCCTGGTGGTGGGTATTAAGGAGGGCACATATTGCATGGAGCACTGGGTATGGTGCATAAACAATGAATCCTGGAATACCGAAAAAATAAAATAAATTTAAAAAAATTTTTAAAGATAATTAAAGAAAAAGAATTTGAAAATAAGTTCTGAAAGAGACATTTGCACAACCATGTTCACAGTACCATTGTTCACAATAGCCAAAGGTAAAAACAACCTGTGTGTCTTGACAGACGCAGGTACAAGAAGTGCTGTATATACATAGGATGGAATATTATTCAGCCTTAAAAAGGAAGGACATACTGACACTTGCTACAACCTGGATGGACCTTGGGGACATTGTGCTTAATGAAATAAACCAGTCACAAAAGGACACATCCTGTCTGATTCCACTCATAGAGGGTCCCTAAAAGACTTACACATATTCACAGAGACAGAGTCGATGGTGGGAACCTGGGGTGGGGGAGGGTCGGAAGGTCAGTGTTTCAAGGGGACAGATTTCAGTTTTGCAAAATGAAGAGTTCTGGAGATGGATGGTGGGGACGGCTGCACAACAGGTGAATGTACTTAACACTCACAGGCATTGACTAGACCATGAACCATGCACTCATAAATAGTAAGATGGTAACTTTTGTGTTATGTACTGTGTATTTCCCCACAGTTTTTTTCTTTTTAACTGTCCGCATTTAAAAACTGAGAGATTTTGCTCAACAATTCAGATTTCCAGGTGTGTGTGTGCATATGTTTTAAAGAAAGGAAACACTGGCAATATTAGGCTCACATTCTTTTTTTATTATTATTATGTTAGTTAGTCACCATGCAGTACATCTCTGGTTTTTGATGTTGTATTCCAAGTTCATTGTTTACATATAACACCCAGTGCTCTGTGCAATACGTGCCCTATTACTCAGCCATCAGACATGATGAATACCCAACTTTTGCATCAACCTGGGCTCACATTCTTGAATGGAAACCATTGCTGGAGCTGAAAGCAACTGCTGCTTTTCGGAAGGGTCATGTGGCACAGTTCCAACCCCTACCTCTTCCCTAACACTTGCCCGCTTGACAGATACATGCTCCCTGCCTGGCCCTCCACAGTTTTTGAGTTTGCCACCATGAGTCAACCCAGAGAGGTACAGGAACTCAACCCAAGCATCTTGCTCTGCACGACTGTGTTCCAGTGACCTTGTATCCCCTTTGCTCCAAGGAATGGTGAACATTGTTCTCTGTGCACCCGTAAGGTTCTCCCAACTTTTGTCTCCCCTCCAGGTGCTGTGCTCCATCATCGCTGGGGTGCTGCACTACCTCTACCTGGCTTCCTTCACCTGGATGCTCCTTGAAGGGCTGCAGCTTTTCCTAACTGTCAAGAACCTCAAAGTGGCCAACTACATCAGTTCAGGGAAGTTCAAGAGGAGGTTCATATATCCTTTTGGCTACGGGATCCCAGCTGTGATTGTAGCTGTGTCTGCAGGGCTTGGACACACCAGTTATGGAACAGAAACTCAGTAAGCACAGTGTCTTTGTTATGAGGAAGTAACAATACAAATATGAACTCCAATGTATTAAACATCTACTACCTGTGCTATTGAAGGCTCTGTGGGCCCCCCAGGAAACAAAGCAGACAATAAGCAAATAGACATGCAATATGATGTTAGGCTGTGATAGCTACCACCACAGAAAGCAAAGTAGAGAAATGGGGATATATGTGAGGTGATATTTGAAATAGTGTGGTCAGAGGGACCCCTAAGAGGTAAACTTCCTATGACATATGTTATTTGATTTTTGAAAAGTCTTATTGTGTTTATTTCCCAGTGCTGTTCGAACAAATTAGCTCAAACTTGGTGGCTTAAAACCACGCAATCTTGTTATCTTAGAGTTCTGTAGGTCAGAAGTCCATCATGGGTCTCACTGAGCTAAAAACAAGGTATCAGCATGTACATTCCATCTTGGGCCTGGAGGGGCTTTTCCAGCCTTCAGGGGCCACCCATATTCCTCAGCTCATGTCCCCCTTCCTCTGTGTTCAGAGTTGGCAACATTGCGCCTCTCTGACCTTCGGATCTCCTTCTGACTCTCTTCTGTCTCTCCTTTCCACTTCTAAGAACACATGTGATTCCATGGGATCCACTCAAGTAATCCAGGGTAATCTATCTCCCCATTCCAAGATACTTACACTCAATTATATCTGCAAAGTCCCTTTTGCTTTGTAAAGTAGCAATTCACAAATTCTGGGCATTAGGAATTGGACACCTTCGGAGTAGAGAGAAGTTCAAGTTATTCTATCACACCTATAAATTTATTTTCTTTCATAATTTGTTCTAACTTGCAAAACTATTTTTAGGAACAAGTGGGCAATCATGGGTTTAGGGTGGACATAATTTTGGACATAATTTTGGAAAAGAAATAACATACAAAAAAGTCTCCTTTGAACTAAGCAGTAAACAACATATTTTTGAAATACAACTTGAGGGGGCGCCTGGGTGGCTCAGTGGGTTAAAGCCTCTGCCCTCAGCTCGGGTCAGGATTCCAGGGTCCTGGGATTGAGCCCTGCTTCGGACTCCCTGCTCAGCAAGAAGCCTGCTTCTCCCTTTCCTGCTCGCCCTGTGTTCCTTCTCTCTGTGTGTGTCTCTCTGTCAAATAAATAAATAAAATCTTAAAAAAAAAAAGAAAGAAAGAAATACAACTTGAGGAAAGGGTACCATCCTTTATGGATGAAAATCAGAGTTGAAACTAAATATTTTTGTTACTAAAAGCCAAATCTGTGTTTATCCTGTTATTGGTCTATTCCAGTGATTCTCAGGTAGGGGTGATTTTGTCCCCCACAAGGGACTTTCAGCAGTGTCTGGAGACCTTTTTTGTTGTCACAACTTGAGGGAGACAGGTGGCCAGAGATGCTACTGAATGTTTTGTGGTGCACAGGTCAACCCCACTGTCAAGAACCATGGGTCCCAAATGTCAGTAGTGCCAAGACAGAGGAAATCTGGTCTATTCAAAGCCACCGCTCTGAGTTTGTATTTGAATTCTGATAATGGAAGGATGGGGCAGCATTCACTGGGTCCTTGATGCTTAACTGAATGAATGGTCTGGGCCACTATACCCAGAATATAAGTTTTCCAAGAATGTTAATCATTGTTTTTCTCCATGTTATGGTTGTCATTGTTTTATTATTATTTCACCCTAACCCAGTTCCTGTGCCCATTTTTCTCCCTATGTTTCAGTTTAGGGAAAGATTTTTTTTAAGATCTTATTTATTTATTTGACACTGAGAGAGAGAGAGAACAAGCAGGGGGAGCTGCAGGCAGAGGGAGAGGGAGAAGCAGACTCCCCGCTGAGCAGAGAGCCCTATGCGGGACTAGAGCCCAAGACCCTGAGATCATGACCTGAGCCAAAGGCAGCTGCCTAACTGACTGAGTCACCCAGGTGCCCGAGAAAGATTTTTTTTTTAATGCACATGATATAATGTGCTAATGATGTACTATAGGGTGTATAATGTAATATATATGCATATATATAATATATATTATATATATATAATATAGGATGTATAATGTAATAAGCTAATGTTGTACTATACGGTGACTAATGTAACATAATGAAATAAATTTATTTGCTTACAATGTTTATTTTTATTATTATTCTTATTATATTATGTTAGTCATCATACAGTAGTACATCACTAGTTTTTGATGTACTGTTCCAAGATTTACTGTTTACGTATAACATCCCAGTGCTCTATGCAATATGTGCCCTCCTTCATAATTTTTTTAACTTTTAAAAACTTTAAAAGTTAAAAAAAATAAAAATAAATAAATGCATTTGTTTCTTTTTATGAAGATCTGGAAAGTTGTTTGTTCTGTTTTTCAGCTGCTGGCTCAGCTTCCATGGAAGATTTATTTGGAGCTTCATGGGACCTGTTTTTGTTATTATTTTGGTAGGTGTATAATTTCTGTTGTCACTTTGGATATAGAAAATACTGCGTTTAGTGATATGACAAAGGGAATCATTGGATAGAGACCTATTTAAATTTTCTTTAGAGTCTTTAGACTTAGAACAGTACATACTAAGAGATTATATATGGACACTTCTCTTTGTGGAAAGAGTCACATCTGAGCTGAGATGAAGACATCACATGTTACCTCAGCAGAATCACTGATGATTTGGCTTTCTAAAAAAATATGTGGTCACAGACAATCAGCTTTTTAAAAATTATAATAAAATCATTTAACATGAGCTGTATCCTCTTAGTAAAATTTTAGGGGTTCAATGCAGTATTGTCAACCATGGACATGATGGCATCATACAGCAGAGCTCTAGAGTGTAATCAGCTTGCATGACTGGAACATTATACCTCCTGAATCATGATTCTTTATATCCCTTTTCCAGCCCCAGACCCCAACACCACAATCCTACTCTCTGCTTCTATGAGTTTGACTATTTGGACACCTCGTGTAAGTGAAGTCATGCCGTATTAGTCCTTCTGTGACTGGCTTATTTCACCTACCATCATGTCCTAAAGGTTCATCCATGTGGCCACATAGTGTAAGGTCTCCTTCTTTTTTAGGGCCGAGCAATATTCCACTGTGTCTGTCCATCTATTTACACAATGAGCTGTCGCTATCAAATCTACTCTATCCATTCTCTTAATGGACACTTAGGTTGTTTACGCATCTTGGCTTTTGTGAATAATGCCACATGGAGTATGGGAGTGTGGATGTCTCTTCCAGATTTGGACTTCAATTCCTTTTTTATTATCTAAATTCAATTAGCCAACATATAGTCCATTATTAGTTTCAGATGTAGTGTTCAAAGATTTGTCATTGCATATAACACCCAGTGCTCATCCCAACACAAACTCAATTCTTTAGGATAGATATCCAGAAGTGGGATTGCTGGATCACAAGTCAGTTAATATCTTAAATATTTTGAAGAAGCTCCATACTGTTGTCTACAGCAGCTGTACCAACTTACATTCCCACCAACAGGTGTGCAAGTGTCCCAATTTCCTCACATGTTCACCAACACTAGTTATCTTTTTCATTACAAATAAGTTAAAATTCACAAGAACTTGCAAAAATAGTTCAAAGAGTTCCAAGTAGCCTTCACTCAGCTTTACTCAAAGATAATATTTTACATAATCATGGTAAAATACCAAAACCAGGAAAATTACATTCGTATAGTCACATCAACTAGACTATAGGCCTCAATCAGATTTCCTTTCTGAATTAATAGAATGTGTTTTGCAAACACAATTTGACCATCAATCTTGGGTGTTTTTTAATGGTTGTGTAAAACATTTAGTGATCCTAAAATTTTGTTATGAAAAGGGCATGCCAATAGGGGGAGGGGGGAGCAAACAATGGAAAATGTAAGCACCAAAATGGAAATAGTGCTTATCTCTGAATATGAGTTTCTTTGCCAGAATTTCAGATAAGTTCTGTCTGTTTTTCTGCATTTTCCTAATTTTGGATAATGAACATATATCGCTTTTCTGATCATAAAAAAACGGAGGCTAATTTTTTAAAAAATTAAGGCATATGCAACTAATGGACTGTTGAACACAACATCAAAAACTAATGATGTACTGTATGTTGGCTAACAGCATAATCATAGAAAATAATCGAAGCATATATCCAGAGAGTTTCAGAAATCCTAAACATATTTTACAAGTTTCAAGAATTAATTCCTTTTTTAAATTTCATTTTTTCAGTGTTCCAATGTCATTTCCTATTTAATTGTAAATATTAGATATTAGCCTACTTTAAACTCTGTTCTTCGTGTCATTTCCACAGATCAATTTTTCCTTCTATCTGACTACGCTATGCATTTTAAAAAACCAGCTTAGCTCCCTCAATAATGAATTACCCAGGATGCACAACACAAGGTAGGTGGGCACAGAGCCAGAAAATGCAAAAGAGGTTTGTTTTTTTTCCCCCCTCCAGAATATTTCACTGTGTAAAGTGAGGGCAGTGATTCTAAAATGAGGGGTTATTTTCTGGAGACATTTTTGGTTGTCGCAAGATGGGATGGAGGGTGAAGAGGGGAAGGCTGCTACTGGCATCTAGATGTTAGTGACCTGGGATGCCGTTAAGCATCCTATGACACACAGGACAGCCCCCCACATACACATATATACACACAAAGGTGATCTACCCAAATGTCAGTAGTGGTGAAGTTAAGAAACCCTGAATTAAGAGAATAATGTCTTTGCAGTTTCCCTTATTTTTATAATTTTGGGGAATGTATATGGTCCAGGTAAGAAGCAAAGTTTATCCAGCACATGAATCTCTAATAGGGTTGTATTTCTACAAGAAGTCGTTTTCAGTACTTAATGTTGTGATTTATAAGTTTTAATTAATATTATTGTATTAACTTGTTTTATGCACAGTGTTATTTAGGTACATAGTAAGAACACTAGATCAGGAGGTAGCTGCCATTGAAAAGATAATTTGTTATACTCACAGACCCTGAGAGGAAAGGCATGCTGTGCCACGAGAGGGGGATTTTCTGGGGAAACACCGGAGTTGGCTAGCAGGCAGGGGACAGGGGAAATTGTAGGCAAGTGCCTTTATTGTGGTGTCTGTGGGAAAGAGGTATAGCAGGGTAAACAGGCTTAGGATCGACTAGTTTGAAAAATTCCAGTAAGAGACTCTTTTTTTAATTTATTTTATTTAAATTCAATTAGTTAACATATAGTGTAACATTAGTTTCCAATGTAGAGTTGTTATTCATCCATTGCATGACTTAATGTTTACTAAGTGCCCATTATATCAAGTGCCCTCCTTAATGCCCATCACCCAGTTACCCCATCCCCCCACCCACCTCCCCTCCAGCAACCCCTCCAGCAATGTTTCCTAGAGTTAAGAGTCTCTTATGGTTTGTCTCCCTCTCTGATTTCATCTTATTCTATTTTTCCCATCCTTCCCCTATGATCCTCTGTTTTGTTTCTTAAATTACACATATGAGTGAAACCATATGATAATTGTCTTTCTCTGATTGACTTATTTCACTCAGCATAATTCCCTCCAGTTCCATCCACATCCATGTAAATGGTAAGATTTCATCTTTTTTTTTAATTTTATTTTTTATAAACATATATTTTTTTCCCCAGGGGTACAGGTCTGTGAATCTCCAGGTTTACACACTTCACAGCACTCACCATAGCACATACCCTACCCAATGTCCATAACCCCACCCCCCCCAACCCCCCTCCCCCCAGCAACCCTCAGTTTGTTTTGTGAGATTAAGAGTCACTTATGGTTTGTCTCCCCCCAATCCCAACTTCTTTCATTTACTCTTCTCCTACCCCATTAACCCCCCATGTTGCATCTCCTCTCCCTCATATCAGGGAGATCATATGATAGTTGTCTTTCTCTGATTGACTTCTTTCGCTAAGCATGATACCCTCTAGTTCCATCCACGTTGTTGCAAATGGCAAGATTTCATTTCTTTTGATGGCTGCATAGTATTCCATTGTATATATATACCACATCTTCTTTATCCATTCGTCTGTTGATGGACATCTAGGTTCTTTAAGATTTCATCTTTTTTGATGGCTGGGTAATATTCCATTGTGTGTGTGTGTATATATATATACCATCTCTTCTTTATCCATTCATCTGTCAATGGACATCTTGGCTCTTTACATAGTTGAGTTATTGTGGACATTGCTACTATAAACATTGGGGTGCGGGTGCCCCTTCAGATCATGTTTTTTTTTTCTTTTGGGTAAATACCTAGTATTACAATTGCTGGGTTGTAGGGTAGCTCTATTTTTAACTTCTTGAGGAACCTCCGTACTGTTTCCCATAGTGGCTGTACCAGCTTGCATTCCCACCAACAGTGTAAGAGGGTTCTCCTTCTCCACATCTTCACCAACATTGTTGTTTCCTGTTTTGTTAATTTTAGCCATTCTGACTGGGATGAGGTGGTATCTCATTGTGGTTTTGACTTGTATTATCCTGATGCCAAGTAATGTGGAGTAATTTTTCATGTGTCTGTTGGCCATTTGTATGTCTTCTTTGGAGAAGTATCTATTCATGTCTTCTGCCCATTTCTTTTCCAGATTCTTTGGTTTTGGGGTGTTGAGATTGATAAGTACTTTATAAATCTTAGATACTAACCCTTTATCTGGTAAGACATTTGCAAATATCTTTTCCCATTCTGTAGGTTGTTTTTGGTTTTGTTGACTATTTCCTTTACTGTGCAAAAGCTTTTATCTTGATGTAGTCCCAATAGTTCATTTTTGCTTTTGTTTCCCTTGCCTTTGGAGACATGTCTAGCAAGAACTTGCTGTGACCAAGATCAAAAATGTTGCTGCCTATGTTCTCCTCTAAGATTTTGATGGATTCCTGTCTCAAATTTAGGTCTTCCATCTATTTTGAGTCTATTTTTGTGTGTGGTGTAAGGAAATGGTCCAGTTTCATTCTTCCTCATGTGGCTGTCCAATTTTCCCAACACCATTTGTTGAAGAGACTGTCTTTTTACCATTGGATGTTCTTTCCTGCTTTGTCAAAGATCAGTTGACCATAGAGTTGAGGGTCCATTTCTGGGTTCTCTATTTTCTTCCATTGATCTATGTGTCTGTTTTTGTGCCAGTACCATACTGTCTTGATGACGACAGATTTGTAGTAAGAGCTTGAAGTCTGGAATTGTGATCCCACCATCTTTGGTTTTCTTTTTCAACATTCCTCTGGCTATTTGGGTTTTTTTCTTGTTCCCTATAAATTTGAGAGACTCTTAACTATAGGAAAACACACTGAGGGTTGTGGAAGGGAGGTGGTTGTGGGGATAGAGTAACTAACTGGGTGATGGGCATTAAGGAGGGCACTTAATGTAATAAGCACTGGGTGTTGTATGCAACTGATGAATCACTGAACTCTACCTCTGAAACTAATAATACACTATATGTTAATTAAATTTAAATAAAATTTTTTAAAAAGAAAAGAAAAATTCCAGTGTGTTTCTGGGCATAGGGACTGTCCCCATTTGTCTGGTACCTGGCCCTGGGATGATTAAGGCAGATGAATAGTGGCCTGGAACGTGAGAGACCCATAAAGGAGGTGGTTGAGGGTGTGAGCTTTGGGTTGGTTGGTTTGCATTTGAAAGGTACGCTCTAAGAATTGGCTAACCCCAGGAGGGGCAGGCCAGGGGCGGGGGGCGGTCGGCAAGGTTCCAGTTGTCACAGCAACAGACTACAGAAAATAAAAAACATAGTTAATACACTTATAGTATATAATTCTAATAAATGCCATTATGTTAATATTATGAATACTGGAACATATGCTATTTCATTATACCAAAAAAAAAGTATACTTTTTGTATATTTGTAATGTATTACTTTCTATCAATAATTACATGGGATATTTAACACTTCACAATATATTATACTAGCATTACATACCAGTCAGTCTCTATAACACTCCTGCCAGGGGTAATCATGTTGAACAGGTTGACATTCTAAGTCCTGAAGCCCTGAAGCAAGAGTAAAACCATCCCAGTATGTGAGAGAAACCATTGCCATGAGCCATGGAGCCGAGATGAATAACATCATGCTGTGTCTTGGTTTTGGCAGGATGCTGGCATTCAAAGCCATTGCTCAGCTTTTCATTTTGGGCTGTTCTTGGGGCCTTGGCTTCTTTCTGGTGGAAGGAGTACTGACTCCCATCAGGTCAGTAGTGGCCTATTCCTTCACCATCATCAATGTCCTACAGGGCGTCTACATCTACCTGGTCTACTGCCTTCTCAATCACAAGGTAAACCAGTCTGTCCTCCACATATTCCACTGCCTCTGGGTTTCTCACGTTCTGCTGCTACTTTCTGTCTCTTGGGCTTCTCCATTGCTTGGGTACTGGTTGTGTATGTGTGTTTGGGGGATGGAGGGGTGAGGGAGGTGGGGCTCTTTCTTCCACATCTTAACTTTTGTCCCAGGGACCACCTTTCCAGGATTTGTCTTTCTTGCTTCCAGTCATTTGAACCTGCACTGAAGTAGTAGAAACTGGGTAGAGCCATACAAGGCCCACAATGAGACGTTGAGAATCTGACAATGAGAAAAAAAAATGGGGAAAACACAGTAAATGCTGAAAAATCGTTGTATAGGACTTTACAAAAAATCCCTATGCTATGAAAACAATTCTGGCTTATTACATTTAAATACTGAGTTTGTAATTGTAAACGTGGGCTAATTCTTAGAATGACAAAAGAATCAAATGTTGACTTTGAAGGGGCATTATTTTATGCATTATGGTGTGGGAGCTATGATAGAATGATTTTTATGTGATGCTCAATTTTTGTAAACTGCAATTTCACACAAATAGTTTGGAATTTGTTAATTTTACAAGGATCTCTGAATCTTTTGATAGCTTAATCATTTTCTTGGGTGTGTCTATCTTGTCGTGATTCTTTTTAGAGTTTCACTTTTTTAAATTATCTGGTCCAATTTGCAAGATTTTTGTCTATTGTAAGGGTTGGCAAACTTTTCTTAAAGTATGAGGAAATATTTTTGGCTTTGCAGGCTATAAGATTTCTGTTTGTAGCTATTCACCTGTGCTCTAGTACCATGAAAGTGCCCATAGACAGTATATCAATGAATGGGCAAGGCAAAACTTTATTTACACAAATAAGTAATGGACTACATTGGGCCTGGGGGTATACGTTGCTGACCCCTGGTCTATTGTGTTTTGAAAATTCTCCAACATCACAGTCACTGATTTCATGAGCTTACAGATTTTTAAATTTTTTTATTATGTTATGTTTGTCACCATAAAGTACATCATTAGTTTTTGATGCAGTGTTCCAAGATTCATTGTTTGCATATAACACCCAGTGCTCCATGCAATACTTGCCCTCCTTAATAACTATCTCTGGGCTAACCCATCCTCCCCACCCCCATCCCCTCTAAACCCCTCAGTCCATAGTCTCTCATGGTTTCTCTTCCCCTCCGATTCCCCCCACTTCACTTTTCCCTTCCTTCTCCTCCATGCTATTCCTTATGTTCCACAAATAAGTGAAACTGTATGATAATTGTCTTTCTCTGCTTGACTTATTTCATTTTCACAAGATTTTCAATTTCAATTTGCAATCATTTTCATTGGGACTTACTAATTGGATGTTTTACTGGCTGGTATAATTAGGGGTGTGAAAAAATACAGTAAGTACCACGTGTAATGCTATTAAACATGTGATGGGTATTAAGGTCACATGTTGTGATGAACACTGGGTGTTACACGCAACTGATGAATCATTGAACACTGCATCAAGAACTAATGATGTCCTATATGTTGGCTAACTGAACATAGTAAAAAAATAAAAATAAAGGTCATTTTCAGCAAAAAAAAAAAAAAAATATATATATATATATATATCTTTAAGTCATCTCTACACCCAGTGTGGGGCTCAAATTTATAACCCTGAGACCAAGAGTCATATGTTCCACAGACTGAGACAGCCAGGTGCCCCACATGTAATGCAATTAATGTTCAATCATTAAATTTATATGGTAGCTAGTTAACAAAATGAAGTAAATTTTTCTCAATCATTTCATTGCAACTTAAATTTAAAATACAATAAAAAATTTAATACAACTGAACCCTTTAGAAACAAGGAAAAATAAGACAGTAGCAAAAGTACACAAATACAGGGGTGCCTGGGTGGCTCAGTGGGTTAAAGCCTCTGCCTTTGGCTCAGGTCATGATCCCAGGGTCCTGGGATTGAACCCCGCGTCAGGCTCTCCGCCCAGCGGGGAGGCTGCTCCCCGCCCCACCTATCTCTCTGCCTACTTGTGATCTCTGTCTGTCAAATAAATAAATAAATAATCTTTAAAATAAAATAAAATACCATAAAAATACTTAAAACTTTCATGCCTTATCAAACTACAATTGTATCTTTTCCCTCTGTATGATCCTTATACGTGTTTCACAAAGTCACTCCAGGGACAAAACTGACCCCTAGTGACATGCCGGATGAGGGTCAAAACTAACATTCAGCAATTAGGGACATCTGACTGGGAACCAAACTTGAGTGCTCTGCTTGTTAGGGAGTATTGTGGGGGACTTCTGTCACAAGTGCCCTCATCATAAGGAGACCCCTCATATTTCTCTTCATTGCTTGCATTGCATGCTCATGAGGTCTCATTCTGAATAACAGCCATTTAGTACACTCTCCAATGAAGACATACAAATGGCTATCAGACACATGAAAAAATGTTCATCATCAGTAGCCATCAGGGAGATTCAAATTAAAACCACATTGAGATATCACCTTACACCAGTTAGAATGGCCAAAATTAGCAAGACAGGAAACAACATGTGTTGGAGGGGATGTGGAGAAAGGGGAACCCTCTTACACTGTTGGTGGGAATGCAAGTTGGTGCAGCCTCTTGGGAGAACAGTGTGGAGATTTCTCAAGAAATTAAAAATAGAACTTCCCTATGACCCTGCAATTGCACTACATTCCTTTTTTTAATTTAAATTCAATTAGCCAACATTACATACATTCCTTTAATGCAACGTTTTAAATTATTTTCATGTTATAAACCTTAGTCTCAAGTTTTCTTACCTGAAGACTAATCATAATTATGATTTTTTAAAAAGATTTTATTCATTTCTTTGACACAGAGAGAGCAAGATCACAAGCAGGCAGAGACAGGCAGAGAGGGGGGGGGAAGAAGGCTCCCACTGAGCAGGGAGCCTGATGCAGGGCTCAGTTGCGGGACCCTGAGATCATGACCTGGGCTGAAGACAGAGGCTTAACCATCTGAGCCACCCAGGCACCCCATAAATATGACTTTTGATACATAAATGATATACATATATGATCCATAAATAGGATTCAAAATAAGTTAAAATATCATGAAATTTCCAACATTACAATAAAGATATAAAATCATAGCTAATATCACTAATATCCATCTATTATCACTTATTCAATTGACACATGCGTGCCTATTTGGAATGGTGCATGTAGTAAACATCATCAAAAGAGATAGGAACTGCAATGAACATTGGTGTACAAGTATCCATCTAAATCCCTATGTTCAAGTCTTTCAGATGTAGCTAGGGGTAGAATTTCTGGGTCCTGTGGTATTTCTGTCTGCATGTTAAAGGAACCACAGTGGTTTTCCACAATGGAGCACCATTTTCCATTCCCATCAGCAATGTACAGAGGTTCCAAATTCTCCACATCCTCACCAACAGTAGTTATCATTTAAAAAGTCATATGGCCATCCTAGTAGATATGAAGTGGTATCCCATACAATGGACTACTATCCAGCCATAAAAAGGAATGAAGTTTTGATACATTCTACAGCAAGGATAAATCTTGAAAACATGATGCTAAATAAAATGAGCCAAAGATCATGGGCAAATTTTGTGTGATTCCACTTACATGAAACATCTACAGTAGGTAAATTCATATGGACAGAATATAGATTAGACGTTACTAGTGGCTGGGGAGTGGAGATGGGAAGGTGCTGCTTGATGGCTATCAGGGTGATAAGAAAGTTTCCAAAATGGATGGCAGTGATGATTGCACAATGTCATGAATATAATTAACGCCACTGAACTGTATACCCAAAAAATGGTTACAGTGGCAAATTTATGTTATAAATGCTCCATCATAATGAAAATTGTAAAAAAAAATGTGCTAATGATATAAATGCAATTCACAAAACATTAATGGGAGGGTCGCTATAGCCAATGAGTGAGGTTGCAAATCACTTGAAAAACTGGCAGGGGAAGGGAGGAAGGAATTCACGCCTTCCAGACCCTATTTTATGGCATTCATCCCTTGTTCATACTCTCTGAAATGAGGTCCATTTCTGTGTGCTTGCATGTTAGGTACGAGAAGAATACAGACACTGGTTCAAGAAGATGAGGAAAAGGACAGAAACTGGCAACTATGACTTGTTTGGCTCAGTCACCCAGACCAAAACGGTAAGATTTCCTCTTCTCGCATTTCATGCTTTTACCCATATCTGACCCTTCCTGATTTCATCCATTTGAGATACCTGATCCTTGCTTTTCAAAGAGGGAGCAGTCTTCAAAAATGAGTATCTTCAGCCAAGGGTGGAATCTTTCTGGATTTATTTGTACAAAACTCTACTGGCATATTTCACATTAATTTGAGCTTCTTTAGAAGCAAGAACATGGAATTCTTCTTTTGTCCCAAGGACTTAGAGCTGGTTCACAGAAGCAGACACTCTGGGGCTATAAGCAACAGAAACATGAAGGGAAACATGAAGTTTCTTATTTAAGTAAAATTTCTTTGCAAGTCCAGAATGGTCACTAACCTTGATTAACTCAGTTAAAGTTGGTCTGTAAAGTTTTCATGAAAAGAGAAGAAGATGGGTCTGAATACAGTAAGAACAGAAGAGAAAAAACAGAGATACCCATTGCTTCTCCTCAATATTTTATTAGGGAAAATGTTCGGACATAGGAAAGGGTTTTTTTCAGATTTTATTTATTCATTTGAGACAGAGAGATACAGAGAGAGAGAGAGAGCATAAGCAGGGGGAAAGGCAGAAGCAGGCTCTCTCATGAGCGAGGAGCCCAATGCAGGGCTCGATCCCAGGACCCTGAGATCATGTCCTGAGTTGAAGTCAGTCATTTAACCATCTGAGCCACCCAGGTGCCCCCAGACATAGGAAAGTTTTAATAATTTTACAATGAATATCCATCTATACACTACCTGTAGTCTACAATTAACATTTTCATGCAGTAGCATTATCTCATCTCTGCCCATCTATCCATCCCCAATCACTACATTACACTTTCTTATTTTTTATATGATTCCATTTTAATCATTCAGTCTGTAGCTTTCAGAAATCCAAATCTGCTGCTTTTGTTCTTTGAGGTGAATCATCCGTGAACACTTAAGTCCATCAGCAATTTTCTTTTGGTCTCTTATAGCTACACACTGTGCTGAGTCCTGGGGAGTCAAAAGCTCCCCGAAGATTAAAATCTCCAAATGAGATGAGTTAATGCTAGTAAAGCATTTGGAATAATGCTGGCAGATAATAAGAGCCATATCAGGGGTGCCTGGGTGGCTCAGTGGGTTAAGCCTCTGCCTTTGGCTCAGGTCATGATCTCAGGGTCCTGGGATAGAGCACCGCATTGGGCTTTCTGCTCACAGGAGCTGCTTCTCCGTCTCTCTCTGCCTCTCTGCCTGCTTGTGATCTCTGTCTGTCAAATAAATAAATAAAATCTTTTTTTAAAAAGAGCCATATCAGTATTTGTTAGAGAAAAGCACAAATGAATAGTGCAATCCACACAGTGGAGGTCATGGGCATTGAATGTGTGGGCTCCCTTCAGTATTTCCACCCACAGCTTTCTCTCAGAAATCTGGGGACACTCAGATTCTGAAACCCAGGGTTTGAAGATTGTTTCTACATGATGTTCAGCTTTCTTTATTTTTGTCCCAGAGCCTTCAAAGCTAAGCCAGGCATTTCTTCCTCTTTGCTGCTTCAGACCTTGAAAAAGGCCAGTGGGAACTGAACAAGCAGCTTGATCGAAAGGTGTAAATCAGAGGCTCATAATTAGTGTATCATAAACTATAACAATAATCTGGGAATGGTGTGGTTTAGTGGAAAGAGCGAAACATAGGGGAAGCATGATACAGAGAAAGGGAGAGATAGATCATGCGGAGATTCGGTTAGGAGTGAGAAAAGAAGGCATCTCATTAACCACTAGAAGCTGTTGAAGATTGACCCATTCTAGCTGCAACTCAGCAACCTTCTCTTTATCTGACCGTGAGCAGATGTTTTCAGCTCTGTGGTCCTCAGCTCCTTCTGTCCATTGAGGATGCTAAAGCCGTGTGATCGTTCAACAAATATGCACTGACAACTGGTCTGTGCCGGTCACTGTCTAAGCATTGAGAGCACAATGGTAAAGAACAGAGCTGTTCCCAACTTCAGAGAATTCAGTGAGTGAAAAGATGGAAACCGACTAATCATCACACGGGCCATGACTCATCGGGTTCTCTTTCCGGCAGATTACTTGAAACCTCCAGTAGATAATCTTTTGATGCAATAGCTTATATGGCTCTTTGATTTTAATCTGGAAAGTACCTACCAACCTGTTCTTTTACTTATAATTGGCACGTCATTAATGCGTTTTCTTTCCCTTCTGTCAATTTCCCAAATGGAGGTGGAAAAGACAGTGGACTTTCCTGGGAAAAGCAGCAATGTATCCTCATAGCATAACGTAACCCATGCTCCAGACTCATTACCAGCTTTCCTGAGAGTGAAGAGGAAGATCGAGAATAAAGCAACTTATTAAAAGGTGTTTGGGTAACTCTTCCAGCATCCCCTGGACATGTGAATGGAAGTTGTGTTTTTATTCTATAACATGGTTTGGGGAGCTTCCTTCAAAATCTTAGCTCCTATTCTCATACTTGGTAGATATATACCCAGTTTGCCGTGGAAGCAAACTATTCTCTCTCTCTCTTCCTCTCTCCCTCCCTTCCTCTTTCCTCCCTTCCTCCATCTTTCATTTTACATTGGAGCATGGCTACCATCTGTCACTATACAACATTATTAAAATATCAATGACTATATGCCCTGTGCTATACATTTCATCCCTATGACTTTCATAACTGGAAGCCTAGATCTCCCACTCACCGTACCCATTTGCCCATCTCCCCCATACCCTCCCTACTGGCAACCATCAGTTTGTTCTCTGTACTTATAGGTCTGATTCTGGTTTTTGTTTGTTTATTCATTTGTTTTGTTTTTTAGATTCCACATATAAGTGAAATCATATGGCATTTGTCTTTATCTGTCTCTCTTATTTCACTTAGCATAATATCCTCTAGTTCCATCCATATTGTCACAAATGGCAAGATCTCACCCTTTTATGGCTGAATTATATTCCATTGTATATATAGACCACATCTTCTTTATCCATTCATCTATTGATGGACACAGGTTTCTTCCACATATTGGCTATTGTAAATAATGCTGCAATAAACATAGGGGTGCATATATCTTTTCAAATTAGTGTTTTGGTTTTCTTTGGGTTAATACCCAGTAGCGGAATTACTGAATCATATGGTATTTCTTTTTTTTTTTTTTTTTGAGAATACTTTAAGATTTATTTTTAAATTTTCCAATACTCAATGAAGGCAACAAAAAATGACAAAAAACATAACAAACACTGTATGCTAACTCTTTAAATTTCTCCTGTTTTTCTGATCTTTGTTAAGATAGACAGATGCAGATACTTTTAATACTTAGCATTGATTTTATCCTTCTTTTTGTACCAATTTGCATTTGTGTTATTTTATTATTTTTTTAATCATTTTTAAAATTTATTTTCAGCATAACAGTATTCATTGTTTTTGTACCACACCCAGTGCTCCATGCAATCCGTGTGTTGGAGGGGATGTGGAGAAAGGGGAACCCTCTTACACTGTTGGTGGGAATGCAAGTTGGTGCAGCCACTTTGGAGAACAGTGTGAAGATTCCTCAAGAAATTAAAAATAGAGCTTCCCTATGACCCTGCAATTGCACTACTGGGTATTTACCCCAAAGATACAGATGTAGTGAAAAGAAGGGCCATCTGTACTCCAATGTTTATAGCATACTGTTTTCCATAGCGGTTGCACCAATTTACAGTCCTACCAACAGTGCCCTTTTCTCCGTGTCTTCACCAACACTTGTTATTTCTTGTCTTTTTTATTCTAGCCATTCTAACTGGTATGAGGCAATATCTCATTGTGATTTTGATTTGCATTTCCCTGTTGATGAGTGATGTTGAACCTATTTTCATGTGTCTGTTGGCCATCTGTATATCCTCTCTGGAAAAATGTCTATTCAGATTCCATACCCTTTTCTTAATCAGATTGTGTATTTTGGTGTTGAGTTGTGTAAGTTTTTTATATATTTTAGATACTAACCCCTTATTGAATATATCATTTGCAAATATCATCTTCTATCCAATAGGTTTCCTTTTCATTTAGTTGATGATTTTCTTGCTGTGCATAAGTTTTTGTTCTGATGAGGTCCCGAGAGTTTATTTTTGCTTTGATGTCCCTTGCCTCAAGAGACAGATCTAGTAAGAAGTTGCTACAGCCAATGTCAGAGAAATTACTGCCTGTGCTCTTGTCTGAGATTTTTATGTTTTCAGATCTTACATTTAGGTCTTTAAGCAAAAACACCCAAAGGCAAACAGACCAAGACTAGAATGTCAGCAGCATGAGTAACCCTTGTCTGTGGATCATGGAACATCTGGGAATGAATGGTACAGTCCTCTCCCCTGGCTCACACGTGGATCATCCCCCCACCTCCAACACTCTCCAGTACTGACCCAGTGGGTTTCTCCACGTCCAGCCAATGCTAATCATGCTGCAAATGCAAACTGTTTTCCTTAAAGATACAAACAAATGCACTAAAGAAATGACCATTCCCAGGGTACCATTCCTAGGGCACCTCTGTCAGTTAAGCATTTGCCTTCGGCTCAGGTTGTGATCCTAGGAGTCCTGGGATCCAGCCCCGTGGGCTCCCTGCCCAGCAGGGAGTCTGCTTCTCCCTCTCCTTCTGTCCTTCCCCCCTGCTTGTGTTCTCACTCTCAAATGAATAAATTTTAAAAATCTTAAAAAAAAAATATGACCATTCCCTTCTCAACTTCAGTTACACTGATTAGTGCTTAATGCCTAGGGAAAAATGAAACTCCTTTTCCTCACATGCACAGTCTGGTTCATTTTGTCAGCTTCACCACACAGCATCGGGAGGTAGTTCCTCCCAGGGCCATCCCAAGATTGAAGGTGGTGCAGAAGCTGTGTCTTTAACTAGGAAGGAGGGAGCAAAGGAGAGACTTCCTCTCTCCTATCTCTGGTAGCTAAAGGGGGAGCACAGGGAAGGCTGCCCCATGAGACACCCCCCAGGGTGACCTGAGACTCAGGGGGCAAAGCAAGGGAGTGGGAATCCTTAGACAATATATGTGCTGGTTCGGATAATCTAGAAAACTCGGCATTGGGGCAGTGAGTATCCCGAGATATGGCCAGCAACAACATCATTAGAGTCAAGAGCCCCCTAGGGGGTTTTCTTGGTGCTCCTTTTGCCTCCCTCTTCATGAGGGAGAACATCTCCTGTGCCCCACTCTCATAGCACTTAACTTCCTGATCGCTGAGCCTGTTATCCAAAATTCCTCTCCCTTCCAAAAGCTGCCCCAGTCTGTAGCTGTTGCAGACCAGTTCCCCGAGAGGGAGAGCAAGAATCCATATTTGTCATCTGGCATCACCTGTGTTAACTGTGATTAACATCAGGTGATCTATTTAACTGGTCTCAGCCTGGATGTACATTGGAATCAGCTGGACAGTTAACAACCACTGATAACTGTGTCCAGTCCTAGCCCTTCTCATCTGCTGATGCAGGATGCAGCCTGGTCTGCAGGAATTTTACAAATCCCCAGGGATCTACGGGACAGCCAAGGATGAGAAACTACGCCTCTAGTTGCTTGGGGGGCTGTGGTCCTGGACCCTGACTTGTGGGAAACACACCTGGGATGCTTTTAACACTGTGGGTGTTTGGACACGTTCCAGACCAAGTGTATCACAATGACTGTGGGAGGGGCCAGGACAGCAGAATTTATTTTGTAAGAAATCCAAACTTTTTGACAGTAAGACGAAGGACTCTTTTTCTCATTTCAGGGTTTTTCAGGCTTTGGAACACATTAGAATTACCTGGTAAAATTGGAAAGGACTAGATCCCAGGCAGGATTATTGGCATCTCGAAGGGGATAAGGAGTATTTCAAACAGTACTTTAAAACTTACCTAGGTGACTTAAATATGCAGCTAATTGTGCCAGCCACCGCATGAAGTTTGAAGAAACGTGAGTTCATTGCAATCAGTGAAGAAAGAACTAATTAAATTGCTCTCTGATCGCCTGGTATGGGTAGCTACTTCAGTGACCTTGGGGATGAAGGGCAAACTAGCATTTACCGGTATAGAGGGCATGAGGAATTCAAGAATGCGGAACAAGATGATTTGGTTTTTAATTTTTTTAAGATTTTTATTTATTTTGATATAGAGACAACAAGAACGGGAACATAAGCAGGGGGATAGGAGAGAGAGAAGCAGGGTTCCCAATGACCAGAGAGCCCAATGCGGGGCTCGATCCCAGGACTCTGGGATCTTGCATGACCTGAGCGGAAGGCAGATGCTTAATGACTGAGTCACCTAGGCTCCCTGTGATTGGATTTTAGAGTACAAGACAGTATACGGGAAAGAGTAAAAATTCTGGATGGAGGTTATCTTTCCATGTGCTGAGAGGGAAAACCGGGATCAAAAACCAATGCTCTGGGATGCCTGGGTGGCTGTCAGTTAAGCGTCTGGCTTCAGTTCAGATCATGATCTGAAGCATGTGGTGTTGCTTCTTCATTTTGGCTAATCTCATGTGTGTAAGATAATATGTCCTGATTCGTTAGCATTTCCCTCAAGCCAAGAGGTTAAACATTTTTTCATGTTTTCTGGTTTGTTTTTTCCAGCATTATTAAGGTTTGCTTGTCAAATTAAAATTGTGTATAATTAAGGCATACAATATAATTTGATATACACATACATTGTGAAATCGTTATCCCAGTTAAGCTAATTAGTATATCCATCACCACACCTAGCTATCATTTTCTGGTGTGGTGATAACACACTTGAGATCTACTCTCTAAGCAAATTTTAAGTACACAATACATAATTATTAACTATAATCACCATGGTGTACATTAGGTCTCCACAATCTGTTCGTCTTATGACTGAAAGATTATATCATTTTTATTTTAAAGATTTTATTTATGGGGTGCCTGGGAGGCTCAGTGGGTTAAGCCTCTGTCTTCGGCTCAGGTCATGATCTCAGCATCCTGGGATCGAGCCCCGAGTCAGGTTCCCTGCTTAGCAGGGAACCTGCTTCTCCCTCTCTATCTGCCTACCTCTCTGCCTACTTCTGCCTACTTGTGATCTCTCTCTCTCCATCAAATAAATAAATAATATTTTTTTAAAGTTTTTTTAATTTATTTGACAGACAGAGATCACAGTAGGCAGAGAGGCAGGCAGAGAGAGAGAGGGAGAAGCAGGCTCCCTGCTGAGCAGAGAGCCAGATGTGGGGCTCGATCCCAGGACCCTTGAGATCATGACCTGAGCCGAAGGCAGAGGCTTTAACCCACTGAGCCACCCAGGTGCCCCAGATTGTATCTTTTGATCAAATCT